CCCATCGTCCAGCCCGTGGGGAGCCCCTATTGTCCTCGTTAAAAAACGTGACGGAACCATGCGATTTTGTGTTGACTATCGGAAATTGAATAAAGTTTCGGTGGCGGAAGCGTACCCGCTTCCACGAATTGATGATTCGCTGGACGCCCTGTCTGGCGCCAGAATCTTTTCGACCCTCGATTTGTTGATGGGCTTTTGACAATTGCCCCTGGATAAAGAGTCAAGACCTAAAACGGCATTTCGGACACAAGGATTGTATCAATTTAACGTGCTCCCGATGGGACTCCACTCAGCGCCGGCGACCTTCCAGCGATTAATGGAACTCGTGTTGTCGGGCCTGCAGTGGGAGTCATGCTTGATATATTTAGATGATGTGATTTTCAGTAGGAATTTCGATGAACATTTGCAACGGCTGCGCGCCGTTTTTAGCAGAGTGCGGCGCGCTGGATTGAAATTTAAACCACAGAAGTGCCAATTGTTGAGAACATCGGTGAAGTATTTGGGGCACGTCGTTAGTGCGTCAGGAGTGGCCACTGATCCGGAAAAGACAAGTTGTGTGCGTACATGGCCAGTGCCGAAAACAGCAGGGGAAGTGCGTAGCTTTGTGGGCTTTGCGTCGTATTATCGGCGGTTCGTTAAGGATTTTGCCACGATTGCTCAACCATTGCATACGCTGACCGGGAAAGGTGTAAAGTTTCAATGGGGGATTGCTGAACAAAAATCAATTGAAGCGTTGCGGGCCGCACTGGCGGACGCACCGCCGTTGGGATACCCGGATTTTACAAAGCAATTTATACTTGACACGGATGCCTGTGATACGGGCATAGGCGCGGTTTTGTCACAAATGGTTGATGGCGTCGAGAGAGTGGTGGCATATGGCAGCTGGGTGTTATCGCCGGCAGAGCAAAAATACTGTGTGACGCGTAGGGAATTATTGGCGATTGTCCATTTTGTGCGCCAGTACCGACCGTATCTATACGGCAGGGAATCTTTGATCCGCACTGATCACGCGGCGCTACAGTACTCGCTGCGCGTGGATCAGCCGTCGGAGCAAATGGCTCGCTGGATTGAGACCCTCCAGGAGTACTCTTTCACGATCCAGCATAGGAAAGGGACGTACCATGTAAACGCGGATGCTTTGTCGAGGTTGCCGCGACTGGCTGAGACGTGTCGGTGCAAAGAGGGCTCGCTGCGTTGTGGCCCGCCGCTGCAGGAGGTTCCGCAAACGGTCGCTGCAGCGGGTTCGGGGGTGCCAGGGATAATCTCTGGAGCAGAAATTGGACTGTTGGGGTTGTCATTGAGGCAGTGGAAGCAACTGCAGGTGGAAGATTCCTCGCTGACCAGGATGAGGCTGCGTGCCTCTTGTTCAAGGGGATCGGAGGATCGCCCATTTTTGATGTTAACGGAAGGGTTGCTTGTTTGCTGGGATGTGGAAGCACAAAAATTTTGCATTGTTGTCCCGAAGGTGTTGCGGGGGAAACTGATTAACGAGGTACATGAGAAATTGCTGCATCTGAAAAAGAAGAAGACCGCGTTGACGGTGGGGAGTGAATTTTACTGACCGGGAATGTTTAACGATGTGAAACAGCATGTAAAAGCGTGCCAGGAATGTGCACGGAGGAAAGCGCCGGCACGGCCATATCATGTCCCTTTGCAATCGATTCAAGTTTCGAGAGTGAACGAAATTGTGGCACTGGATATTTTGGGTCCGTTCCCCGTCACCCCCCCGAGGGCACAGATATTTGCTCGTCGGGGTGGAATACTTAACTCGTTGGCCGATGGCATGGCCGCTAGTAGACCAGTCAGCGACGTCGATCGCTGAGGCTTTCTTGAATGGATATGTATTAGATAAGGGGGCCCCAGAACATTTGCTTACTGACCAAGGCAGAATTTTTTCATCGAAATTGATTAAGGCCGTGTGTGACTCGCTGGGAACCAAAAAGATCCGGACGTCCCCGTACCACCCGCAGACTGACGGGATGGTCGAGCGGCTGCATAGGACGCTGACGTCCATGCTTTGTCACCAAGTAAACACCGCTCAAGATGATTGGGATCTGCATGTTGCAGCGAAGCTGGCCGCGTATAGATTGGCCCCGCATGCCTCAACGGGGTACTCGCCATTTTTTCTGATGTATGGACGGGAACCGGAAGCGCCGGCTATTGTGAAATTGTGAATTCGAAAACGGGAGAAATCTACGACGGTGCCTGCTCCGATGCAGCTGGCTTTGGACCGTCTAAGGGAAGCCCGAGAGGCTGCATTTCAAAATATGGCACGACGACAAGCCGCTAACGAAAGATTGTTCGGCAGGCAGTGGCCACGAGAGCTGTGGAGTGTTGGAGATAAAGCCTGATTGCACTGCCCCATGGTGCCGGTGGGAACGTCCCCGAAGTTTCACCGCCCCTGGCAGGGGTCCGTTGATATTGTGGAGGTTTTACGGGATCAGAGTGTGCGAATAAAATTCGGTCGTCGGACATGGTTTGTTCACCCGTCGCGCCTGAAGAAATTTGTGTTACCATATGATGCGTCATCCCCCATCCGAGAGCGACCTGTATTGTATGTGTCCGACGAACCTTGTGGGGAGGTCACAAGTGCGCGTGTCCCAGAGATCTGCCCCCTGTGTGCCTGCAGGATCGCCCTTTTTGGGCAGGGTTACCGACCAGATGCCGATTGAACGGCCACAGATCCGGTCCAATGGCCGTCCTGACCGTGAACGATGGACAGCCCCGCCAGCTAAGTGTCGCTGGGACAGGGATGGGCGCAGGGTTCATTGGCAAGACGAGCGAGGCCCTCCCTTACCGCAGCGTATCCCGTGCAGGGGAGATGGACCGGCAGCAGGAACCCGTTCCAGGAGGAATACAATACATTGACTTTGGGGGTTGGGAATTCTGTATAAAGGTGTTGTGTGCATGTCGTTGTATGATTGTACAAAATGGTTGTATATTGCAAATGCGTTATGTATATATGTTGTCATCGTTCCGTCCGCTTCACTCCACTACTCCAATTCGAGTATATCGTAGCCGGGGACGGCTAGGTTCTTTCATCACGGGTGGGGGGGGGGGGGTGATATAGTGGAGTAAACAATACGCATAGGAATTGGCCATATACAGTACATACAGACAGACAAGGAGAACGGGTCACATGAGGTCGAACAGGTGATCGAGTCGCGGGTGGCGTAAACCACTCGAAGTAATTAAGGGAGTCGTGGCACGAGGGCTGTGATTGGTCGAGAGGCTGTTAGTGTTAAATGGTGGTGTCTGGATGTCTGGTGGAGGGGACAGGTGCGAGCTGGCGGAAAACGGCCAGCGAACCACGTGGCAATTAATTAAGGCTAATGCGAAAGGGGATAAAACGCGAGGTGGTTTGAACGGAGTGGAGTTGCTGCTGGGGAGTTGTTGTTGGAGAGTTGCTGCTGGGGAGTTGTTGGCGAGAGGTGAAGAGATACGAAGACAGCTGGAATGTTAGGGAAGAATAGAGAGCCGGACCCCAAAGACAGTAAATAGCGATAGGGAGAGTCAGCGTTAGCGGAGATAGATGGAGTCACTGTGTGTGAATAGATAGATGGAGTCACTGTGTGTGAATAGACAAACAGGATACTGTGTGTGAATAGATAGAAGAAGAACCACTGTGTGTGGAAGGGAAGTCACTGCGTGTGAAGAGATAGCGGCGATACTGTGTGTGTGAGGAGATAGAAGACGATCCACTGTGTGTGGAAGGAAAGTCACTGCGTGTGAAGAGATAGCGGCGATACTGTGTGTGAGGAGATAGAAGACGAACCACTGTGTGTGGAAGGAAAGTCACTGCGTGTGAAGAGATAGCGGCGATACTGTGTGTGAGGAGATAGAAGACGAACCACTGTGTGTGGAAGGGAAGACACTGTGTGTGTAGAGATAGAGGAAGGAACACAGTGTGTAGAAGGGGATGCACGGACGATGCTGAAGTAAATCGGAGTGTCCGAGTTGGCGGAGCACGGAGAGAATTACTGTGTGTACGGAACGATGGAATAAAAGTGGCGGCGGAAAAAGAGATGGTTGTCGTCCCGAGTGAATTCACGGCACTACATTATTATGAAGCCACTGGAGCTCTTCACTTTTAAATCGTCTAAATTTACAACCTATTTCTTCATAACTTATTTTTTGTGTTTAGTTTGTTGTCCATCCCCCTCACCTCCGATTAGCCCAGTTGGTTACATACATTGCAATATAATTTCAACATACATACAGTACATACAGGCAGGCGGCCAGGAATCCAGTCAGCAAATCTTCGTAAGCCTTGGTTTAAGCAATGCCTGGCTCTGCTGCTGATGAGACACTGAACGTCAGAATCGATCCTTGCCTATGAACATCTGGCCAATTCGCCAGCATTGCACCTCCGATTAGCACGGTTGGCTACGTACGTTGGCTACGTATGGTGCGAAATAAGTTCAACATACAAACATTGCTTCACACCAAGCCTGACACTGCTGCTGATGAGACACTGAATGTCGAAACCTGCCCAGGGTGATGGTGGTTTTCACGGTGATGACAGTGATGGTAGTAATTATGGTGGTGATGTGATAATGGTGATGATTATGGTGTTTTTTGTTGTATTGATGATCATGATGATAATGGTGGTGATGATTGTCATTATTGTGATGATTATGGTGGTTTTTGTGGTATTGATGATGATGGTAATGATTGCAATGATTGTGATTATTGTGAAGATGATTATGGTGATCATGGTGGTGGTAATTATGATGGTGGTGATGATCGTGGCAGTGTTGTTGGTGGTGATGATGGTGACGGTGGTGATGATTGTTATGGTGATGATGTTTATGGTGATGATGATGATTATGGTGATGGATGTGATTATGGTGTTTTTTTGGTGGTTGATGGTGGTGATTGTGGTGATCGTGGTCGTGGTGATGATGGGGATGATGTTGATGATGTTGGTGATATTGATGATGGCTTGGTGGTGATGATAGTGATGATAATGGAGCAATGGTAATGATGAAGATGATGATCATGATGGTGGTAATGATGATGGTGGTGATGATGGCAATGATGGTTTTGACAGTGATAATGATGATGGTGGTGATGAGGGTAGCAATGGTGGTGATGATAGGGGTGATGATGGTGATGGTGAATCGCAGGGATGAGGAGGCGTGGTGATGCGAGTGCGCACTGCAGGTGAAGGAGTGGCCACACGGACTCTGGGTCTGCGCTGATTCCCCACTCACATTTCATTAAAATCCCTCAAACTTCCGCTCCGGCGATTTGTACTTCACAGGCGACATCGCTCACGCACACCAACCTGAACCTCACCCTCCCCCCTCATGCTAACCCTCCATGCTCACCTCACCCTTCCCTGAATTTTCAGCTCACCGTCTCTCTACCCACTCCTTCCCATCCTCTCCTCTCCTAACCCTCTCCTTACCCTTCACCCTCATCATCACCCTCATCCCTCACCCGCCACCTTCCCTCACCTTTCCCTCCATTCTCCCCTCACCCTCACCTTACCTCACCCTCCGTTCCAACTTCCCCTCACTTTCACTTCACCCTCTCCTCACCATCCCCCTCTGCTCCGTTTCTTGGGTTTCTGTCTCGGTTTCTTGAGTTTCTATCTCTCCTCTTCCTCAGGATGCACGACTCAGATCCACAATCTTCAATGGTTCATTACAACACCCCACCCACATCCCAGGGTAGAGAGGCTGCAAGAATCTCTGCCGACCCTCGTGGATCACCTCCATGGAGTCGGCGCGGTAAAACGCCAGGAGCCCCCCCTCCCAGTGCAGGTGAAGCCCGATTCTGCGGGGGGAGAGGGCCCCCCTCACCGACAGTGCAGTCTTCACTCCACCATGAAACACTGATAAGTTGTCGTAATATTTCTCTAAACACCAGGACGAGTCGCTTCCTCCCAGCTGCTGTGCAGCACGATCCCCTTTCCGTGGGATCGTCCCGTACGCGACTCCAACCCGACACCACCGCACGTCCCCCACGTCCACCTCCCAGTAGTGGTGACCCGAGGAGAAGCGCTCACAGCACAGGGCTTGTGCACGGCCATCAAACCGGTGTGGGTGATCGGGGCAACCCTGGGAGGCATGGACTGCTGTCATCGTCCTGAGATCCGAGGAGATCTGGAGTTGGTTATGAGCTGAGTTTGTGTCCAGAGTAGGTGAGCGTCCGTCTGTGACAACAGCGATGACAACATCACTACAAAACACCGTCATCACCATCATCCACCATCACCACCATCACTACCATCAACATTACCATCACCAACCATCATCTTCACCATAAACAATAACATCACAAACATCACCATCACCAACCATCCTCGCCATCAATATCATCGATGACAACAACATATACATCACCATCACCACCATCAACACTATCGCCATCAGCAACATCACAACCATCATCACCACCACTAGCACCATCACTACCATCACCTCGACTATCACCACTATCCCCATCACCATCTCTAACATCTTCATCACCATCACCAATGCGAAAAGCATCATAACCATCATAACGACCATCAAAACCATCATCACGACCATCACTACCATAATGACCATTACCAATATCATCACGACTAGCGCCATCAGCGCCATCAGCAAAACCATCACCACGTATATTATCACCAATGTCACCATCATTACCATCACCACGACCAACACCATCACTCACCAAATCCATCACCATTCCCCATCACTCACATTATCACCAACAGCATCATTACCAACAACAACCGCCATTCGCCAAAGTGGCGGTGACGTCACCACGGCGCTTGTGCCAGGCTACGTGCACGTTGAGGCCATGTGAAGTGTAGAACGCCCACTGGCAGGAGGTCATGGGGCAGACCCAGGTGCCATGGGTCGACTGAGATGACTGGCCGATGCACCACAATCATTACCATCATCCTTATCAAGACCACTATCACCATCATTATGACCATTACCAGCATCAGGAACTCATTTGAGGTTGAAACTACCCAGTAGAGACCCTGGACTGGATTAGATATCACCTGCCACTGATGTTAGCCATGGCGGGTAATCAAACCCAGGTAACTGGGTTCATAGTGCAGTGTGGTAACCACTATGTTACCGCTCCCCCCACGCATACACATTCACAGGCACACACTGCATCTCAACATTACCCCTGACTCAAGCTGATTATTTACACAAGAACGCTACACTGAGTCTCATGGTGTTGTTCAGTAGGGTCCTGGAATGGGATGTGAACAACGACATCGATCCCTTGTGTAGCCTTGCAGACTATTGGGACAAGTGTTGTCCGTGAGCATCTATGAAGGCTGGCACGACACACGAGGGGGTGGGTGGCCAGCACTATGCCTGGCCCTCTTTGTCTCCCTAGTGGTGATGTTTACACTACACCAGGTAATTATTTGAGGGTGAGTCGACCTCTTGCACACACAGGGTTCATCTGTTGTCAAGATGGCCCCATCACTCATGATTCACGCTAAAAAACTCACACATGAACTTGACAGTAGTTGTCTCCAGGACTTTAAGTGAGGCAATGTCCTCTTGGCTGGGAGCTGAGGGTTGAGCCGTTCTAACCCTCCCTGTCCTGTGAAAGCAGAGCAGACATGGTCACTTTCTTCCAAAGATTATCATCACTCAAGATCATCACAGCTCTATCACATACAGACTCATCACACAAAGCATCACCACTCACATTACAATTATTCACAGCATCACCACAAACAGCATCATCACTCGCAGCATCATCACAATCAGCACCACCACTCACAGCATCATCACACACATAGCATCCCCACACACAGCCAGTGTCTCACTGCCTGCGCCTTGCACTCAGTCCCATGTTGTCGTGTGTCGAGTCGTGAGTGATCGTCGACTGTACCTGTGCATCTCCTCCATGTGCCACTGTGGAAGAGAGAGAGAGATGCGTTACTGCGACTCTGCCTCCATTCCGATGAGATCAGTGGATTTCCCACTGCAACACCGCAGGTGGAATATACACCACCAAGTCTTGGCTTACGACCTCATGAGCACCAACACTGACTTACATTGCAAACATCATCGTGATTGGGGACGACGGCACGCAAGGACCGGGTGGAAGCTCAGGCCGTGCATGACAAAGCGCAGTCAATGTGAAAACTTCATTCAGGAGCCTCAACTCTGATCCTGCCGAGGGCTCTGTGCAAATAGCGACACCGGAGACTCATCGCTCACCTGCAGGAACGCGAGCGAGTCCCTCTCCTGCACTAGGTCCTCCAGACGAGTGGCTACTGCCTGGAGCTCGCCGATCTCGCACTGGTAGTGAGCGATGTTCTCCTCGATCTGGGTCAGCAGCTCTTGCTCCTTCTTGGACGCACGAGCCAGAGCTGCCTTCTCGTCCTCGTCCAGAGCTGCTCTCATGCGGGCGAACTCGCCATTGATTCGCTGCCTCACCTCGGTCATCGATCCCTGCCAGGGCGAGTGATTTGTTTTAATTATATCATTAAAGGAGTTCATCTCGCAACGGTTGATCTATGTCTTAGGGAGGTGGAGTTTACATCACTCTTTCCTGAATCATAAATGGAAAAGGGACTGTTGCCACACAACGCAAACTATGGGCAAAAAAGTAAACCTAAAGAGACCCATAGATATACCTCGCGATCCATAGAGATAGATAGAGACTCAGATATAGAGACCCATAGAGAAACACAGAGACATGAAGACAATAGAGACGTATAGAGACCCATTGAGTCAATATAGGGCAGTGTGACTGGTCATACAACCCAAACAATGGACTCTATACTAAACCCATGGAGACACTCAGAGATGCATAGAGACCCATCGAGACCCATAGAGATGCATTAACGTCAATCCAAAGGATTGCCACTGTGGCCACGCAACCCACACTATGGGAGACGTTTTGACCTGTAACCCCGGTGACCTGATGGAAGATGAACCCCTCCTGTGCATCACGGCCTCGATAGCCAATAAACAATACAATTGTCACCTATCATAACGCTGCAAATTCCACAGGACTCAATCGCAAATATTACATCACAAATCTGAGAAAAATAAGGAATTTAAATAATAATTAAATATGAACCCCATCTTTTCGGAGAGTTGCACAAGGTGTGTGTAATGCGAGCAGAGTGACAAAGCAAAAGGTCATCATTGAAGCTGCCTGATCAGCAACGCTTCCAAGCTGTATTCCTACCACAAAACAAGCCCAGCTGGGACTAGACACGAGAGCTGGGTTTCGTGACTGAGCAGTGATAAGATTGGTGCACCAATGAGAACTGGACATGCAACTTGGTGACCTTACCTCTGTCTAAATGCTTTGTCGGATACTCTATTTAAATTCAAATTAACTTTGATGCTCACCTAGCACATTTCAATATACTGAATCGGAGGGTACTATGTCGCTGCCGAGGGCTCTGTGCATATAGCGACACTGCAGACTCATCGCTCACCTGCAGGAATGCGAGCGAGTCCCTCTCCTGCGCTAGGCCCTCCAGATGAGCGGCTGCTGCCTGGAGCTCGCCGATCTCGTGCTGGTAGTGAGCGATGTTCTTCTCGATCTGGGTCAGCAGCTCGCGCTCCTTCTTGGCCGCACGAGCCAGAGTCGTCTTCTCGTCCTCGTCCAGAGCTGCTCTCATGCGGGTGAACTCGCCATTGATTCGCTGCCTCACCCCGGTCATCGATCCCTGCCAGGGCATGTGATTTGTTTTCATTAAATAATTAAAGGAGTTAATCTCGCAACGGTTGATCTATGTCTTAGGGAGGTGGAGTTTACACCACTCTTTCCTGAACCATAATGTGAAAAGGGACTGCTTCCACACAACGCAAACTATGGGCAAAAAAGTAAACCTATAGAGACCCATAGATATACCTCGTGATCCATAGAGATAGATAGAGACTCAGATATAGAGACCCATATAGAAACACAGAGACACATGAAGACAAATAGAGACGTATAGAGACCCATTGAGTCAATATAGGGCAGTGTGACTGGTCATACAACCCAAACAATGGACTGTATACTAAGCCCATGGAGACACTCAGAGATCCATAGAGACCCATCGAGACCCATAGAGATGCATTAACATCAATCCACAGGATTGCCACTGCGGCCATGCAACCCACACTATGGGAGACGTTTTGACCTGTAACCCCGGTGACCTGATGGAAGATGAACCCCTCCTGTGCATCACGGCCTCGATAGCCAATAAACAATACAATTGTCACCCTATAATAACCCTGCAAATTACACAGGACTCAATCGCAAATATTACATCATAAATCTGAGAAAAATAACGAATTTAAATAATAATTAAATATGAACCCCATCTTTCAGAGAGTTGCACAAGGTGTGTGTAATGCGAGCAGAGTGACAGGTCATCATTGAAGCTGCCTGATCAGCAACGCTTCCAAGCTGTATTCCTACCACAAAACAAGCCCAGCTGGGACTAGACACGAGAGCTGGGTTTCATGACTGAGCAGTGATAAGATTGGTGCACCGATGAGAACTGGACATGCAACTTGGTGACCTTATCTCTAACTGTCTAAATGCTTTGTCGGATACTCTATTTAAATTCAAATGAACTTTTATGCCCACATAGCACATTTCAATATACTGAATCGGAGGGTACTATGTGAATAGGTTACGTGAATATACACATTGTATAAAGCACACCGCGTGCATTCAGTGTATTGCGTGGTTGTGGCTTTACAGATATTTCTCGCTACTGATGTTTGTCATCGCTGGGAGTTGATGTCAGGTGACTTGGGTTCATAGCACAATGCGATACATATTGTAAACATATAATTAATATGAACCCTGCCACCAATGTACTGGATAACAGTTATGTGCCAGCTCATCTGGCCAGAATAGATAGATATATAACAGAGATGAAGTGGCAGTTCACATGGGGATATCAGGCCCCCATCCTAAGAATGTGGAATTTCCACGACTGATTCAGTTCCTCATTGGAGATGAGAACCACTTCTTTGCTTGTCCTGGGTATTAATACGCATTGACTGTTGAGTCTTTAGTCCCACGATGTGTTCAGAGCCTATGGAAGTCCACGTGAATGAATGGAGTTGTCCTCCATCACAAACCCTACTCAGGGTGGAGTTACAAGGTCACAGGGTCCGGTCCAGACGCGGTACCTGCACGTCCCTGTGAGCGGCCTCCATCCGCTTTATGGACTCCTCCGCCTCCCTCTTCTTCTCCTCCACCGCCCGCGTCTCCTCTCCCACTTGTTTCTGTGAGAGACGTTACCAGGGCAGACTCCACTCACTCTCTGAGCACCCCTCTCACCCCGGCTTCACACGGACCCCTCCACAGTGACGGTCCCATCTCCCCAGTGCAGCGATGGGGGCTGGGGGAGCGAGCGCTGCAGGAAAACCGATTTCGCGAGGAGCTCACACGCCTCCTGGAGCATGTGTTTAGTTGTCATTCCCCCGCACCTCCGATAAGCACGGTTGGCTACCTCTTCTTTGGTTCTTTCGGTAAAGTCACGTAGAATGAGAATAAAATAATAAATTGATAAAATGAAATAACACAATAATATTCTCACGACGTTTCGGCCACAACACAAGCGGCCTTCATCAGGTGAAGGGACGAGACTGTCTGGTAGGACAGCGCTGGAGTGAGATTGGCTACGTTTGATGCAAAAGAAGTTCAGCATACATATAGCTGGGCTCACATAGCACGCGCAGGAGCCTAAGCCTGTGGAACCAATCACTCTCCACTGCTACCTGAGTCGTGGGCAGGGCTACCTGAGCAGTGGGTGGGGCTCTGAGAAGTGGGTGGAAAAGGCTCCGTGAGATGTTAATCTGCCTTGCCTGGTATACAGGATGTCGTGGTTTCAATCCCGACCCTGACACCTGTATATTTCGAGTTTGTTCTCCCCAAGGTCGCATGGATTTTTGTCCGGGTCCTCCGGTTTTCCCTCTACATTTAGAAACGTGCGTTTAGAGTATTTGGCTGCTATGAATTTCGACGTCATAAGCCACTTCTTGGAGTTGTCATTTGTGGCCAGGTTTGCCTCTGAAAAAGCGCTACATAGCTCTGTGAGCTTCAACTGGTAAAATAAAAAAAATAGTTTGTTTAGTTTTACATGGTACAAGGAGGGGCTTCCATGTCTCTCTTGAGTGTCGGAGAAATTCGGTGAAGAGAATCTTGATGAAAATATAAATACGGTCACGAAATACTTGGTCTGAAAAAATCATGCGACATTTCTGGAACACCAAGTCCAGTGACCCGGTACCTGCTGTAGAGTGCGGCGCTAAACTGGGACAGACCGGCATGAGGCTTCCAAGCGATGAGCACTGCGGCTCACGCAGTCCCAGTCGTTTTACATTTTGTTTACATTTTGGGGAATGCTCCTCTATTCCACAAACCACTTTTTTGTATACAAACCACAGTATATGCACTCACATCATTTTTAGAAAACATTGTATGCATTAAAGTCCTTCAGTTTTATAAAATATACTAAGAGCACATTTATACATTTGTCAGATAACAGGATTGATAATAACTTGTTTTCGTATTATTTCTGCACTATGACAACCTCAGCATACTTTATATTAAATGAAGGTTGTTAAAATTTGAAGAAACAATGGGAAGCTGAGAGGAATAATATATTTAGTTGGATATTATTGTTCAGTTAGTACTTGAAAATGACTTCACGCAGGAGGGGCTCCCGCTCACACACTCAGACCGTCTCACCTCCCGTGTATTGTGCTCATCCTCCAGCGTAGCCACATCGTGACCCTTGTGGTCTCCTGCAATGATGCAGGTTGTGCAGACCAAGCTCTCGTCCTGTTGGCAGTAAAACTTGATCTTCTTTCTGTGTTTCTTGCATTTGCGTTCTTCAGGATTCGTAGCTGGATCCACCAGAATGTGGCTACTTAACTTCGAGTTCTCCTGGTGAGGCTTTACATGAGTCGCACAGTACGACATATCACACTTGAGACAGGTGTTGGAGGCAGCAGTCGTGCCATCGTTGCAAAAGTCACACAAGACCACGGTGGCCAATTCATCTGTGGCATTGCGCTGCTCCAGCAGGTTGGCGAGCGTCACGCTCTTGTTCAGCTGGGGTCTCTGAGGGAAGGTTACTCGGCACTGTGGGCAGGAGAAGGACTTGGTCGCATACCAGGCGCCCTCCACGCACGTGAGGCAGAACGAGTGGCCGCAGCTGAGCGTGCAGGGGTAGCAGAAGGCGTCCAGGCAGATGGTGCAGGTCAACTCCCCTGGGGCCTCGCTACCGCTGGAAGCTACACTTGTCATGGCCCCGTGGCTTCACTCAGAGATGGACGCTGGTTGGAGCTCAGGCAGTCTCTGGCTGTATCTCAGGCAGTAGATAGCTGTGTATGAGACGCAAACACAGGAGCAAGCCTTCTGAATGTGAGGGAGGGAAGTACAATACACTTCCGGTTTTATTTCCATACACCGTGACACGCCCTGGAATGTGCTGAGAGACAAACCGGCAGGAGTCCTCTGCTCAAGGGATGGCTGAATAAAGACTCCGGTGATGTCGCCTCATCTCAAATCCTCATCCTCACACACCTCACCTCATCTCACCTCATCTGAACTCACCTCAATATCTCAACTCACCTCGTTGTCTCAAATTAACTTGGAGGGGAACGCTAATCGGATTCCACCAGTATGAATACTTCTTCTCATTCTGTTGCCTCTCCGTCTCTGCTCCACGATATTTAATATTTTATCTTCACTTTTTCCTGCTTTTCGATTTAAAGCTTTCGTGACTGCAATGATTCATCTTCTTTGGTTCTTTCGCTAAAGTCACGTATTTTATTTTATCAATTTATTATTTTATTTTCATTCTACGTGACTTTACCGAAAGAACCAAAGAAGATTTTTCGTGCTTATTTAAATCGTTAAACTAAATTTTGATTTAAAGCTTTCGTGACTGCAGTAATTCATATTCTTAGCTCTTTCGGTAAAGTCACGTTGAAGGGAAACAATAAAATAATAAAATATATATAAAACAATCAAAATTCTCACGATGTTTCGACCATAACACAAACGTACGTCATCAGGTGTGTCGGTTTGCATTAATTTATTTATCAGTAAACGGTGTATTTATTTCTTTATTTATAATAAAAACACGTCGGCGCCACCCGCAGCGATTTGGCAGTTTATTTAGAAGGACTAGTCCATCTATGTTCTGAAAAGAGGAGGGGGGAGACGAAAAATTAATGTATGCTGTCTGAAAGCCACTGTAAGCGTGAACAATCAATTAAGACCTGAAATGGTTTATCAAATATTTCCAATGATTGCTAAGCCAGAATCCATCTTCTCGGTTGAAATTGTCTCTGTGCTTGTATATGTGGATAGCCTCATGAACGAATCTCTCATGGTAGCCAGATGGCTTACAATGAACCTTTGTCTTGGAAAAGTCAATGTCATGTGAGCCTACTGAATTATAACAATGATCTGCCACGGCCGAGGTGTTGGTCCTATCGTGTTTAAGGTCTGCTTTGTGTTCACGAATGCGGTCCGAGACATGGCGTTTGGTTTCTCCAATGTAACTACTACCACAGAGGCAACTTAGTTTGTAGACACCAGGGTACTGTATGTCCGGAATCACATCTTTTACAGACGGAAACAGATCACGGATTTTATGTAATGTGTTGAAACAGACCTGGATCTTGTGTTTATTCAAGATTTTGGAGATCTTTTTTGTGATCCCCGCAATGTAGGGTAAAGTGATGGTTTTGAAAGGCTCCTCAAGAGGGTCCTTCTTCATGGTTTGAGTGATAGCTTTGCGGATTGTATAGTCGGAGTAACCATTAGCCTTAAGAGCTTGGTGTACGTGCTTGAGTTCACTGCCTATGTGTTCCTGGTCGGATATGCATTGGGCTCTATGATACAGAGTCTTGATGAGAGAATTCTTCTGTGATGGATGGTGGTGGGAATCCGGTTTCAGATAAGCATCCATATGGGTAGCATTCCTGTAGACAGAGTGGCTCATTGAACCATCAGGTCTCTTTTTTATTAGGACATCCAAAAAAGGTAGCTTGCCATCTTTTTCGACTTCCATGGTAAATCTGATGGCTGGGTGTATGGAATTGATGTGGTCGAAGAATTGGTCTAGAGCAGGCCGGCCATGTGGCCAGATGACAAAAGTGTCATCCACATACCTCTTCCATAAGGTTGGGCGCAGAGTGGCAGTCTGGATGGCGTCAGTCTCAAATTTCTCCATGAAAATGTTAGCTATAACCGGAGATAGGGGGGAGCCCATTGGGGTGCCCTCAGTTTGTTTGTAGAAAGTTCCATTCCAAGTGAAGTATGCATTGGTTAAACAGTGTCTCACCAGGGGGGGGGTACCTCAGTGTTTAGTCCTTGATGAACCAAGTCTTCAATGATTGCGATGGTGTCAGGTACAGGAACCTTGGCGAATAAGGAAACATCAAAACTGACAAGCAGGTCGTCTGGGGACAGGGAAATACCCTTGATTGTCGATACCAGGTGAGTAGAATTTTGCACCGCAGAGGTGGTTTTTCCAGTGAAAGGACGCAGGATTTCAGACAAAAAACGAGCCAGTTTGTAGGTGGGGGAGTTGATAGTAGAGACGATGGGACGAAGGGGTGTATCTACTTTATGTATTTTTGGTAAGCCATATAATCTTGGTGGCCTGGCAGCAGAAGGTTTCAACGAAAACTGTTTAGATTGATCAATTAATGCGGTTGAATCAGAAAATATTTTGTTGGTTTGTGTGACGAGGCTGTTGGTCAGATCCCTTTTTATTTTTGTGTAACTACCATCGTCGAGTAATTCTTTAATTTTGTTGTTGTATTCTATTTTATCCATGATGACAGTAGCATTGCCCTTGTCAGCTGAGAGGACTACAATGTCATCCATCTTTTTTAATTTATATAATTAAAAACGCTAATCTTTGCTGAGGTTGCTAGCTGGCATCTTAGCGTTTTTGAGGGTTGCAGCGATTTCAGATCTTTCCACTCTGCGCCCAACCTTATGGAAGAGGTACATGGATGACACTTTTGTCATCTGGTCACATGGCCGGCCTGCTCTAGACCAATTCTTCGACCACATCAATTCCATACACCCAGCCATCAGATTTACCATGGAAGTCGAAAAAGATGGCAAGCTACCTTTTTTGGATGTCCTAATACAAAAGAGACCTGATGGTTCAATGAGCCACTCTGTCTACAGGAATGCTACCCATACAGATGCTTATCTGAAACCGGATTCCCACCACCATCCATCACAGAAGAATTCTCTCATCAAGACTGTATCATAGAGCCCAATGCATATCCGACCAGGAACACATAGGCAGTGAACTCAAGCACGTACACCAAGCTCTTAAGGCTAATGGTTACTCCGACTATACAATCCGCAAAGCTATCACTCAAACCATGAAGAAGGACCCTCTTGAGGAGCCTTTCAAAACCATCACTTTACCCTACATTGCGGGGATCACAAAAAAGATCTCCAAAATCTTGAATAAACACAAGATCCAGGTCCGTTTCAACACATTACATAAAATCCGTGATCTGGTTCCGTCTGTAAAAGATGTGATTCCGGACATACAGTACCCTGGTGTCTACAAACTAAGTTGCCTCTGTGGTAGTAGTTACATTGGAGAAACCAAACGCCATGTCTCGGACCGCATTCGTGAACACAAAGCAGACCTTAAACACGGTAGGACCAACACCTCGGCCGTGGCAGATCATTGTTCTAATTCAGTAGGCTCACATGACATTGACTTTTCCAAGACAAAGGTTCATTGTAAGCCATCTGGCTACCATGAGAGATTCGTTCATGAGGCTATCCACATATACACGCACAGAGACAATTTCAACCGAGAAGATGGATTCTGGCTTAGTAATCATTGGAAAGATTTGATAAACCATTTCAGGTCTTAATTGATTGTTCACGCTTACAGTGGCTTTCAGACAGCATACATTAATTTTTGTCTCCCCCCTCCTCTTTTCAGAACATAGATGGACTAGTCCTTCTAAATAAACTGCCAAATCGCTGCACGTGGCGCTGACGTTTTTTTTATAAATAAATAAATACACCATTTAAAAATACATTAATGCAAACCGACACAACTGATGACGACCGTTTGTGTTATGGTCGAAACGTCATGAGAATTTTTATTGTTTTATATATATTTTATTATTTTATTGTTTCCCTTCAATGTGACTTTACCGAAAGAGCTAAGAATATCGTTAAACTACTTAATTAAACAATTAAAATTTGACTTAAAACTTTCGTGACTGCAGGAATTCATATTCTATGGTTCTTTCGGTAAAGTCACGTAGATAGAAATAATAATAATAAAATAATACAGATACATTTTTTTAATTCACTTTATTTTCATATTAATTATTTTATTGGTATTTTTTTTGTTCTATCTATGTGACTTTATCGAAAAATTAAACAATGTGTCGGGTGTCTCGTTCTCGAGCTGAGACGCCTGTGGAGTTGCTCGCCTTCAACTCAGTCATGTGGCTGCGGCTCACAGCTGTGTCGTGCAGAGACAAAGCTCCCCCGTGTAGCCCACACAGACTCTAGGCCAGCACCACACCTACCTGGCCGCTTTTGTCTCCCTAGTAGACTACACACCGCACCAGGTTATAATTTGAGGCTGAGTCGACCTAGGGGAGGCCCAGAGCCGGTTCAGATAATCACTGACGCTGTCCCTGGTGCTGGTGGTGGCCATGAGTGGGATTGGGGTCTCTGCTCGAATCGTACAGCAATAATTTTTTTACTGGAGTGAGAGAGAAGCCCAAATCAAGGGGTTTTCTACTGGGCAGGGTGAGGGGAAAATGGACGGGGCTATAGGTATGCGGAGGGGGGGGTATGAGTGGGGATAAAAGAGTGACTACTCGACGACGATTGCCGCCCAAGGCAGGGAGGCGGGAAAATGGGTTGGGGCTGTAAGTACGCAGGGGGGGGGGGGGGGGGGGGGTGGAGTGGGGATAGGGCTACTTGTCCTCGACGGTTACCACTAAAAAAACAACACGGATGGTGGCACTCACAACAAAATAGCCACACTGCTGAACGCTGAGGATGTAATTAACTCGGTAAAATAGACTAATACCCGGTAAAAAAGATGGAACAACAATGAACTGTTAAATTTTTCTTGGTTAATAACATCTTTCCAATGATTGCTAAATTTGAGTTGAAGTTATGTCTATGTTTGTATATCTGGATGGCTTCATGTACAAATATTTGGTGGTAGCCAGACGGCTTGCAAAGTACTTTGGTATCAGATAAAACAATATCATGGGAGCCCACAGCGTTGTAGCAGTGATCAGCCACGGCGCAATAGTTAGTTCTGCCGTGTTTCAGATCTGCCTTGTGCTCGTGA